AACCCCCAGCACCACCTCCCCTGCCTGCGTGCCATGCTCTACCTCCCCCCGCTCCCCCAAAGCAGCAACAAGCAGCGAGCGTCCCAGTGGGAACAGCCTTGGGAAGCCCAGTCCCAGGGATTCACGCACACCCCAACACACGGACACACACAGCATGTGCAGCGCACACCCCCCCCAACGGGAAACATGCAAGTACACACACAGCCAGACACGTGTGCATGCACACACCCAGAGGCACACACACACATGCACACACACACACACTTGCTGGTACAGGACGCGGATGGGCCCTTTGCTGAGTAGCAGACCAGGCCTCAGGCCCCTCTGCCCGCCTGGCCGGGTTCTTAACTGCCCAGCCTGCTGTATCCTGGGGCAGGCCCACGGCTGTCAGCAGCGGGACCCTCGGCACTAGGCTGTCCCCACCACGAGCCCTTTGCTCCTGCTGTGAAACATCCCGCAGCAGCAGCCCGGCCGGCAGGGACTGGGCCTGGGCCTCTCCTTTGGCACTTACGACACCTGCCCAGAGAGGCTGTGAGGTCTAGTGGGCACAGCGCTGGATTCGGCAGCAGGACTCCTGGCGTCTAAGCCTGTCTCTGCTGGTGACTCCCTGTGTGACTCTGGGCATGGTCCTGTCTCGTTCTGTGCCTCAGTTTCCTCCTCTACAGCGTCACCAGTCAGTGAGGAACATGGAGCCTGGCTCAGGAGCCAGCCATGGTCAGCGAGCTGTCTGTGCTCCCGACGCCCCGGACGGCGCTGGAGCTGGGGGCGGGAGGGGGAACCCAACGCTCCAGTACGTGGCTGAAGCTCGGTTCTGACCAAGCCGCATTGTAAGAGCAATCCCTGGTGGTAGCATAGCCGGAGCCAGAGCCGCTCCCCGTGGTGGGGCTGGGCAGGGGGCTGGCTCAGACCATGCCAGCTGCCCCTCTCCTGCGGCTCTCAGGGCCTAGCAGAGTTTCCTGGCCCAGCTGAGCTGTTGGCTCCCCCAGGGGCGTCCCGGCAGGACCCTCCCAGCGCAGGAGGAGGCTCTGCCCGCCTCGCCCCACTTGTCTCCATCTCCAGAGCTCGTCCCCCTCGCCCTCCCTGGGACCCAGCCAGCAGGCACAGCAGGGAGCCGCCCCCCAGGCCTGGCCCTTGCCCACAAGCCCCTCTGCCAGCTCAGGGCTCGGGGCCGCGGGCTGGGAGCTGTGGGCGAAGGACCCGGCCTGGCCCAGCACACGGGGGGTAGATGCTGCTGAGACTGCGCCGGCCAGACGGACTGGGTGAAGCTTGGACCCTGCCCTGGTGCCAGTCCCTTCAGGCCCGCTGCTCGGGGCCAGGCGCCAGGCACAGGAGGGAGCAGCAGGGGCTGGGGTGCGAGGGCCGGGGAGGGTGGAGGTGACGCGTCTCTGGAGAAGGATCTGGGAGGTGGGGGGGGGGGCAGCTGAGAGAGGCGAGAGGGAAGGATCCTGGGGGGAGGGGCAGATGGGGACGGAGGAGCTGCAGGAGGGCTGAGGGGAGGAGGCAGAGGGGTAGGGGGTCACGGGCCCCATCTGCAGCCCCGGCTCCGTCAGGGCACTAACCCCCCCGCAGGCCGCAGCAGGGGGCTGCGCTGGCCGCAGCTTCGGGGAAGGTTTGTACCTGAGAGGCTCTGGTGTGAGACCCGGAGCGAGGCCCCGGTGCAGCCAGGCCTGTTTGGCTGTCCATGGATCGCTGAGCCCAGGCACCGGCAAACGGCTCTGACACCCAGCGAAGCCTTGCCGGGGACGCTGAGGGTTACGGGGCTGCAGAGCACCCGAGGCAGGGAGAGAGGCAGCTGATCTGCACAGGAATCCTGTGCCTCCCGTGGGGCGTCTGTGCCCCCCCATTGACACCCAAGGCTGGGGGGGGGCAGCACAATGCAGAGCAGGGTTGAGCAGCATCACCCAGGCTGCCCCTTGCCCTTTGCACCCGGGCGTCCCCAGCAGATCAGAAAGACTTGTGCAGTGTCGCCAGCTGGAGAGTTTCTTGGCAGTCTCACGCTGTTTTCCTTAAAGCGCCAGCTCCTGGAGTCACGGGGTTCGGGGAGACCCGCAGCCTCCACGGAGCACACGGGGCTCTGGAGACAAGCTGGAGACGGCTCCCGAGTGCCTCCCTAGAGGCCCAGCCTGTGTCTGCATTACAGCCGTCTCTGGCACAGCCCTGCCCAGCAGGGCGTGGTGGGGTGTGAGCCCCGATGGGCAGCGCCATGATGGGGACCCTCTAGTGCGAATGTGCGTATCGCAGCAACGCTGCCGCTGGCGTCATTCAGTGGAATAGCCAGCGGTAAAAGCGCAGCTTGGTCGGTACAGGACCCCAGCGCTGCTGGAGTCCCCGTAGGGCCAGCGCGGAGCTGGGACACTGGGCGGCCCCGAGCCTCGTCTCTGTGGTGCGTGGCTACCTGATCCTTGCTCCTGTGCCCAGGGTCTGCCCTGAACTCCACACAGGGGCTTGGGAAGGAATTTCCCCCGGTCAGGGATTCGCCTTCCCCCGCAGCGTGCGGGTCACGTGCCAGGGTTAGCTGGGTGTAGCTCACTGGGACATTCCCTGCCATTGGGGAGCCTCGGGGGACCGGTGCCCCCGGGTCCCTGCTGTTCTCTGTCTGTGGCAGACACCAGGCCAGGCTGCCGTGATCTCTCCACAGCTGGGTTTGCTGTGCGGGTGCTGACTGACTGAGAGGCTGCTTGGGCAGAAATGGGCTTTGCAGGGGCCAGGTCCCGGCTGAGCCGTTCTCGGAGCCGTGCGGGGAGCTCCCGGCAGTGCTCGCTGGGCCAGGGCACCCAGCGCCCGGGAGGGGCCTCTCTAGCTAGTATTTCCATCAGCCCCCAGCCTGGGACTGGAAGGGGCGCTGGGGCCAGCCCGGCCCTGCCCTGGGGACACGGAGCTGGGACCGCTGGTTTCCCAGCTGCCTGGCAGCGCCCCGGGGGGATCTCCAAGCGCTCGGAGCCAGGACACACTTCACTGCTCTGCGCTGTAATAAGTGACCACGGCCAGGTTAGGCTTTAACTCCAGCTCATGGGCTCCCGGCAGCTCCCCAGGGCGTCGCTACGCTCAGCACCGGATGCCTGGGGCAAGGTCCGGCCTTTGGCCCGACCTGCTCACGGGGCTGACCGGAGCCAGCGGCCGGGACTGGCCGAGATTAACCCTCCTTTCCGGCCTGCTCCGGCGCTCTGGGAAGGGGCACGGAGGGATTCCAGTGACGCCCGGCACGGCCCTGGGGCTGCGAGTCTGTTACTGGGGGTTAGGAGCGGCCGAGTGATCTAGCGATCAATGAACCCTTATTGCAACGCTGGCCGAGGCCGCAGCTACCCAGTCTCCGTGGGCTGCCCCAGGGCTCGGTCTGTCTCCAGCTCCTGTCTTACACCCCGGCTGGCGGCTTTGATCTGTGTTTCTGCAGCGCCTCGCACGAGGGGCTGGGCCAGGAGTGGGGGGTGTCTTGAGCCCTTCTCCCCGTGGAGGGAGCCAGGGTGCGTGTGGAAGCCCTCCCCCAGGCAGCACATGATTGCCAGCTTCCACCTGCCCCCCGCAATCCCTCCCACTGGATGTGACCCAAGGGGGGGCAAGACCTCCCCTCCCCACTGTGCACCCCCCGTTCTCTGCCTGCTCAGTCTGATCCTGCACTCGACGGACATAGCTGGGTCCCGGGGGGGGGGCTGGGCCCCAGGATCTGACTGGCCCGAGGCCGAGTCCAGTCCCTGGGCCAGCTGGGGCAATGCATGGGGCCAGCAGTACAGTCCTGTCACTCAGCTGCCCCGGCCTGGGGGGTGGAGCTAAACCCCTGCAGAGCCAGAGCTCAGAGGGGCGGCTCATCTCTTCCTCCCCCGGGGCGGGCCGGGCTTCCTGGGGTCACTTAAGGCCCCAAGCAATGCGGGTCTCCCCTTCCCCGGGGGACGTGTCCGGCTATCAGCCCCAGTGTCCGTCCCCCAGGGGTGTGTGCGGCGGTGTGAGCACGAGAGGGTCCCCGTGCGGGAGGGCTCTGCCGGGCTCCTCCCGGCACCTTGTGCCCTGTGCACTCACACGGATCACCACACAGGGCTGGTGTCCTGCTGTGACCTGGGGCTCTGCCCATGGGACAAATGGCTGCAATGCCGGTCCTCCGACAGGCATCACCACACACACCCTAGGTCACCCGACAGGCGTCATCACACACCCATGCACGCACACACACACCCCATATCACCTGACAGGCATCATCACACACACACACACACACACACACACACACACCATGTCACTCAGCAGGCGTCATCACACTCACACACTCACACACATGTCATGTCAGCTGACAGGCGTCATCACACACACACACATACAGATGCACATGCATACGCACACACCATGTCACCCGACAAGCATCATCATCACACACACACACACGCACACACACACCATATCACCTGACAGGCATCATCATCATACACACACACACACACACACACACACCATGTCACCCGACAAGCATCATCATCACACACACACACGCACACACACACCATATCACCTGACAGGCATCATCATCATTACACACACACAATGTCACTCGACAGGCGTCATCACACACACACACACACACACCATGTCACTTGACAGGCGTCATCACACACACACACACACACACACACACACACACACCATGTCACTCGACAGGCATCATCTCACACGCACACTCACACACGCACACACCATGTCACCCAACAGGCATCCTCTCTCTCTCTCTCTCTCTCTCTCTCTCTCTCTCACACACACACACACCATGTCACTCATCT